TCTATAATGCTAGTTCAATTGGCGATATTTTTCAATGAGGACGTAATTTTATGCATCGCATGTCTTGATTTTTTTATTCTCGAGCATTGCTTACTTTTTGTTTTTCTTTGTATGTTTTGCAAAGAATTACGTTTCACGAAGGGATACTGAATATTGTACACCAGATCATAATAATGTATCGAGTAGTAGATCCGAGATCGTAATTAAAGAATAATAAGCAAATAAACATCGTTGAAAAGCTATAAAATCTTTCATATTACAAATTAGAGATGCCTGTTTATGCTGTTCACCATTGAGAATGATGCATTCATTGAAAGGGAAACTGATTCCAAACCTTAATAGACTTTATGATTGCAGTCAGCAATCCCCGGGAATGCACTGGACGAAACACTATTCACAGAGGTTGACACATTTTGGGCTGTAATGGTCTTCATAGTGATTTTTGTAGCAAATTTCTTTCGGTAAATTATGCTTATGGAAGTTCCAAATAACTTGAAATCTGCTTGCATGTAACGTATTTTTGTAAAGACGTATAAAATTGAAAAGAAACGCTGAACAAAGAGAAAACTATTTAGCTGTTATCTTTTCAATGTCTATCAATTGATCGTTATGCGTAAATTACCGTAAAAATGTTATAAATGTGTTATCAGAGTATTGATAATCATATAAAATCAAATTAATCCATCTGTGATTTATACAAATGACTAATTTACTGCTTTGAGTTCAATGGTATAATCATGTCGATTTTCACGCATGTCGATTGTCACAGTTTCATACCATATTCGCTCATAGATGGGGTCGTGCTGGTTATTTCGTAAAATCTTTTCGTTAAAATAGAGTGGATATAATGTTTTCTTGAATAGTGATCATCTTTACACAAGAATGCTGCCCATGTTTGAATTACATCTTGGTCGTTTTTCAGAAGAAAAATGGTGAATTTTTAGAAATTTTCAGATAATGCTCATTATAATTCAATCACAATTATTATCACGATTTGGAATACGATGGTCTGATAAACTGAATCAAGGACTTGCTAACCACATATAACCTATTTTTCTCGGATTCCACTAATGCCCTGTGGGTGTGTTTTAACGACCATGTCGATTTTCACAGAATAAATTTTACATTTACTTTATTGAGTCTATATATTCGGTAATAGGTGGAGATCAAATCCGGTGCTCTCATCACACTCTGAATGAATGTTCTCTATGCCAGCATAACCAAAATTAAAAGATGCGACCATTTCTTATTGAGATATGACATGTTTTCAAAAGCGTGTTGTCCTGTTACATTGACAATTTCACCGAAATTCACAATTTTGGGGCCAGATATCAACGCTACTTACAATCGAAACGATCAAAAAGTATGCTGACGTACTTCAAATAAAGGCATTCTATTTTAGAATACATAAAATGTTGAGCAAAAATACGTTTTGTTTCAGCTATGTTCAATTACATGAAAAATGCCTATTTTTAACACTTATTTGTTTTCACTGTAAAGTCAAAATTGTTTTTCAAAAAACGAATTTTCAAAAATGACTTTGAAGCGCTGTAACTTTTAGTATTCATCAAGTAAACTAAACACTTAGTTTAGAAAAAAGTTAGACAATTAAATTTTCGATATCAACCTATTTTTGCTGAAACTTTTACTGAAAACATATCCTGATTTTTGATTTGTCCCGAAATCTCCATTTCCAAATGGATTACATGGGAATGACGATTTACAAAAATTCATCTTTATCATCAATTTTCGACCTATTGTAATTCAGGAATTGATTGTGATTGAGAAAATTTGGAGGTATTGGAAATAAAGTCAAATTATTACGTTTCCATTGATATTATAAGTTATTTCATCGCCGGTTAAGTAAATAAAAAGTCAATTCAATTCAGTTTATTTATTTCATAACTTTTATATAATATACACTATAAAAACAAGCCGCTAGACACCCTAGTGGGTATATGTTCCGGTTTAACAGAAATTTTTAAAATGACATTTAGACTACAAATAAAAGAAAGCACTTATATTATGTTACATGTAGGTATGTAAAATGTTATTAACAATTACTTTAAGAATGTACAATGTAGAAATGTTAATGCAAACGTAAAGAGGCTTTAACAACGCTTCCCTTTATAAGAATGTTATTACACGTCGCACGAAACTGGGGACAATAAGCGTTACATCATGGCGACAAAAAGCCGAAACAAAACAATTTAATGGGCAGTATACTAGTATGGCGCAAATAGACTTTTAACGTCAAAAACGACAAGCGTTACATTTTGTCAAAGTGAGTCAACCTAAAAGTAAAATGTTCCTTGGAGACAATTTGATTATTCTAAAAAAATTTCATGTTGACTGATAAAGCTATATTGATGTTATAATAAGATCAAGTTGGTGAGATTAGTAGGATGGGGCAGCTATACAGTCACGTCAAAAGGAACAAAAAATTGAAAATATGAAACAATTAATCAACAAATACCATTTTGTGTCATCATGATATACCATGACATCTCATTTCTTCTCAGACCCGTTTCAGGTGAAACAGAAAGATGCTATGAGTATCAGAATGATTTTGTGCAGCTATAAGAAGTATGCTCAAAAATACATTTAAGATACTAAATTACTATGAGTACATCCTAGATTTAATGGATGTATATTGCAGTGTCCCATTTCACATTTTCCCAAAATATTGCCCTTTGCATGTACTTTTGATGTGAGTCCAAGTGAAGTATAAAATTAGGCCACCAAATGCAAGGCCTCTGTTATCAGGTGAGAATTGCAACCATTTTTGTAATTTCTTGACTTTGACTTTATTTTAATTCGTGACTATTGGAATGTGGTATTACGACATCACATTGCTAAATGTCATTATCTGCACTTAGTTAACATCATGCTGAATAAATTTAACAATTTCCCAAACATTTTGATCATTTAAAGGAAAGAAATATTAATAAAATAACACTTAAGATCTTTTCATAATTAGAAAAATTGGTACCTGCCCCGCCCACCCCTACCCCCATGTTGTTATAGCAACCATATTAAGACTAAATAATAATGTTTGATGCTGAAACTTAAGGATATAATAGATAAGACTTCAATTGTTATATACACAAAATTTCAGCTGAAATTGAAGAATATTAAAGAAAGTTAGAGCATATACTGCATTACTTCTGGGACAACCCTCGTACATTACCTATATTAATGATGTCAAATGACCAAAACGATGATGTCATACTTTGAGAATAACATTTGAATCAACAACTCAAGATCTCATCAAATTAATTGCTAGTTCTGCAAAAAACATATTCTGCATGCCGTCAGGAAGAGACATTCACTTTCTCGGGAAGTTCCATCTTCAGCTTGACAGTGTCCCCAGACACAAAGCAAATCTAACCCAAGATATGATTGATACAGTAGGTTGCGGGCCTGTGAACCATGTACCATACTCCTCAGATCTGACTGGTAGTGACTTTTTATTTTTCCAACAGTTCAAACCCAGTGACGTGGAATTCACTCTGAAATCGGCGATGAAGTTATTCAACAGTTTACCAATGAATGCATTAAAATTGGTAAAGATGTACAATTCCATGTATTTGAAAACTGAATTAACCGTCATATGAAGTGTGTAGCTCACAAAGGAAATTACTTTGAAGGTATTGGTACGTAGAATTGATTCAGGAGTAATGTGAACATAAAACAGTGTTAAATAATAGATGTTTGACTTAATTGAATGGATAGTGATTGTCGACAATATTTTGAAAAATACAATACAAGTTATACAGGGCGTCCACAAAAAAGTATACCCAACTTCAAATCCAAATTACTAGAATCCTAAGCAGTTTTTATAAAATACAAAGTAAGTAGTAAAAAGCCTGGTTTATTCTCCATCAAATGGTACCAAGATCATTTTGTAACTGTCATGTGTGACTGAACAACCTGGACCATTATGAGAGGTGATAAAATTAGCACTGTACCGAGAGTTACTTTCCTGGGTGCCAATTGATGTGTAATTCGCTTGGATCTGTTACATTTAGTTAGAGGATGGCCCTTCAATACTGAACTGGACTTGGAACTGAGTAACTCTCTTATAAAAAAAGGTTTGGCAAAAATCTTAAATTACTTTAAAATAGGCCTGCAAAATGGTTCTACTGCTCCTGAGCAGTAGAGTCAACAAAAAGTTCTAAAAAGCAAGTCACATGTACTGTCTATAGAACCCCTATTCTTACTGTTGAAATGGATTCTAGTAATACTGTCCCACATTAATCTATACTTGTTTAGACACGAGTTTAAACATGAGTTCTTCTGAGAAAAGGAGGATTTCAGCAAGGGTTATTGACTTTACACGGGGATACAATTGACTTCAACGTTGCATATCATCAAGTAGAAATCTCATTGTTGATCAAGAGGCTCTTCAGATCCAATTCCTCGAGAGGGAGGTACCAACTTAAAGTTAAAGAAAATTATGCAAAAGAATGTGGAGAACATGAAACAAGTTTGAATTTGAACATAATAATGTTTTAAACACAAAACTATGTCATTCCTACTTGAGCTAATTTGGCATGGTGCTGATTTTACCACACCATTCATAAAAGTCATGATTGCTCAGTCATACATGACAGTTGCACAATGAACTGCCATTGGATGGAGGTTAACTTAAAATATTGCTCAGTATTCTAGTATCCTGGCTTTGAAGTTTGGTATACGTTTTTTTGTGGACGCACTGTATTGTTTGAAATATTGATGAAATTAACCAGCTGTCCATTACTTTCTGATCACCCCTCGCCTTGTTTACTTCTTAAATTTGTCATCATTTACCTATTGTAGCTTTGCTACATCAGTATTAGGAGTCGTATGTAAAACTCCTCAGTTTCTAAACAAACACCACCATTTTATTGTTGATAATTTGTATTTTGCTCCCACCACAATTTTTGTTTCTCTTAGTTTCCTCAAATATAACACATGGACTTTTGAAATTTAGAAAATGTCATCATGGTGATATATTGTTATAGTCTCCAACTTTTTTTGTGTTCGGCGTTTGGCGTTCGGCAGTTAGAATCTGTAACATTTCAAAGATGTCTGTTTCGTTAGATTGTTTTCATTTCATTTTCTCTTTCACTCTCTGCCTTCTGCCTTCTAAGATCACTTTTAATCAAGACTGAAACAAAGTAAAGGAATAGTCAAACATGTACCTTAGCAAATGGATATGATCTGCTGTTTAACATAACCCGAATGTATAGTTTAACATTTCAATCTAGTCATTGATCACATAATCTTTAAAATTTGTTATATTATGTATTCATTCAACAAAAACAAACATGTTATCGGTCATTTGGTATTAAACACCATGCGCTACCATGGCAAACGAAGTACACTATCAAAAGTTTCCTTCCTTAGATTTCTGGGGCAATGCAACAGCGTCTTAAACATGTTCCAACTATATTTAATTTCTCGAAGATGCTAAAATAGGTAAAAACCAAATGTTTAGAGTAATTAATGATTTATTTATGTTAGTGCCTTACTTGTCATAATACATCCTACCAATAAGGCACCTGCTACAAGTAGGCAAGGAGCAAGTGTCCCGTATTTCAGTAAGGCACCCATACCAAGTGTAAGAATGATACCAAATAACTGAAAAATAATATGAAATAGGGACGACTACCAATTGTGTACATTGTAACATTCAATTGCCATAGTGTAAATTTGGATGACCTGTTACATTTGTTGTTAATGATGAAGATTGAAAATGAATTATGATTAAGTAAAGTGTATGGATATTAATTTTAGAAAAGCCATACTTGAGCTGATGCATTGAGTAAGCCAGACGATGTCCCCTCAGATTCAGGATATGTTATCTCTGCACCGAACTCGAACCCAACAGGCAGATATCCTGTCATGAAAAACCTAAAAGTCATAAAATGAATTCTGTTTTATCAGTTGGCATATTTCCACTTACTTTGAAAGCACATTCGCTTAAAGTGTCTCACATTTTCGATCAAAACTTGCCATGCAAACATGTTAGTCTACTTTACTGGCCCCCCTTGCTGTAACAAGGAACACAAAACACATTAAAACGTAAAGATAAACCAATTAGTCACTTCACTATGAAAGTGAGGGGTGTTACGCTGTGCATGGACTAACACAATATCAGTGGTCATTTACTGTGTCAACTTAGTAACCCTTGCATATCGTGCTCACTCAAGTATTGAATAATTTTTTTATGATCTAAATGTTTGTGGTTTATAAAAAAATGTGATATATTTTAGTTAGAAATACATTAATTAATATAGTCATTCAAACAGCACTAGAATGCGGGAAGAAAGAGCAATGGTGACAAAATGCAGACAGAATTTTCCGTAAGGGTTTCAAACATTTCTGAACACAATCACACATGTACTTCATGCGTACTGTTATATTTAGTGCTGTATTTATAGATATAATTTCACGTATTAAAATCATATTTTCCAGCAATGACTTCAAATTCGGAACAACACCCATATCACATTTTCTTCAATAACTCCAAACATGTGTAAACATTGAACATGTGCATATAAATTCAGATTTCTCGAGCTCTTTCGTATTCGAGTACTTCATACACCCCTGCATGGATTTGAGTTGGATTCGCCTTTTATACGTGAGCCGACACACTCGCAAACGCTGATTGGATAAAGATTGCGAGAATCTTTAAATGTATTATCAGTAAAACCCCGTTTACACCTGTTTTGTCGATCTTGACACGATTTCTATGTCGGACTACACAGGACTTTTTGCGGTCTTTTTTTTTAAATCTGTTGAAAGTCCTGTTGAGTCCGGTAAAGTCCTATTGAGTCCGGTAAAGTCCAATGGAGACCGCTACAAAAAGACTGTCGGGTTTCAAGCAAGATGTCATACGATCCGAGGGGATTTCATCAGGCTCGACAGGACTCCATTGGTCTCATCCGGACTCGACATGTATCAGGAGTACACATTGGCGTGTCATAAAAAGGATCTTTCGGTCATCAGAGTCTCTAGAGGACTTAAAAAGACTGGTGAAAAAGACCGGTTAATGAAACGGGGCTTAAGAAACAAAATGAACCAATTTAAAACTCATATTTTTACTTTTTAAATGGAAAACAGCCTTCCAAATGTACAGGGTGAGTCAAAAAGGTAGCCCAAACAAACGTATCTTAATCATCCAGTCATTCAGCATCGACTTAGAGTTATATTAAGCACAATTAAACCTTTTCGATTGTCTCAAGTTTCATGGGTCTATCCCATATATTTGTATGGTCATTTGCAAAACATGCTCCAAATGCTGAAACAGGCCATGCTAACCGGATATTATCAGTGAGACTAATTTCCACACTAACAACCCTTGGAACAAGAGATATGAGAAGGACGGTAAGAGCCATTACGCAACAACTTCGCCGGATACGTCCGGACGTTAGCCTGCAAACACGATGCCAGTTAATTACAGCGTGTTTTGGAAAAGGGCAATTAAATAGTGACCATTGTGGCTAGAGCAATGACACTTAATACAATGAAAGAAAATTGATCAAGAAGTAATTCTGTGCAAACAGACCTTAAACCAACGTTGTTTGACTTAGGTATTGACATTTGTTTGTGTTATTTTTTGGCTCGTTCTGTATTTTTGATTTCCTAGCTATGTCCTCCCAGAGACAGCAAATCCGGTGAACCATCTCCCTTATCCCTGAGTGACTGTAAATATTAACAAGAACACAAATGTGTACAAAATGTCCCCACCTATTGGTGATCCCGTCAAATGGTTATCCTAAAAATGAGTAGACAAGACTTTACCGACAAAATTAGAGGACGGAAAATCCAAAATGGCCACCTTAAAATTTACCCAGAATGCCAAAGAATTAGTCAGTTCTAGATTTTCATACTAAAAACCACCCCTGAAAATTTGAAATTGATCCGTCACACAGTTAACCAGAAAACATGTAAGACTTTACAGACAAGATTTGAGGACAGAAAATCCAAAATGGCTGCCTTGACATTTATCCAGAATGCCAAAAAACAAATCTGTTCTAGATTTTCATACTAAGAATCATCCCTGAAAATTTGAAATTGATCTACCAAACAGTTCACCTGGAAATGCGTAGACAAGACTTTACAGACAAGATTTTAGGACAGAAAATCCAAAATGGCTGCCTTGACATTTACCAAGAATACCAAAAAACTAATCAGAACTAGATTTTCATACTAAAAATCATCCCTGAAAATTTGAAATTGATCAACCAAACGGTTCACCTAAAAACATGTAGACAAGTCTTTACAGGCAAGATTTTAAGACGGAAAATCCAAAATGGCTGCCTTGACATTTATCCAGAATGCAAAAAAACTAATCAGATCTAGATTTTCATACTAAGAATCATCCCTGAAAATGTCAAATTGATCTACCGAACGGTTCACCTGGAAATGCGTAGACAAGACTTTACAGACAAGATTTTACGACGGAAAATCCAAAATGGCTGCCTTGACATTTACCCAGAATGCCCAAAAACTAATCAGATCTAGATTTTCATACTAAGAATCATCCCTGAAAATTTGAAATTGATATACCAAACGGTTCACCTGAAAACACATAGACAAGACTTTACAGACAAGATTTTAAGACGGAAAAATCCAAAATGGCCGACAATAAAAAAGTGATTATGAATTTTTGCTGATTTCGTTTTACAAAATTATCACATATAACTACTGTTTACAATAAAATAGGCTTTTACAACAAAGTACACCTGAAATTATTTATAAAGCTACTAAATAGTTCAAGTATGAAAACTGAAAAACACCATTCAATATGATACAAAGTATTATCGTGCGCTAACTTTTCTTAAAACATTCAAAATGGCTGACATGAGTGAGCTAACAGGTCCGAAACCTAATCAGATCTAGAATGAAGTGAGCTGAACAAGATGTTAAAGTTTTAAAAGCAACTGTGAAGCCGTTTTTTTTAAAGTTTGCAGACAAGGATTTTAGCATTTGACTTCAAAATGGCCGACAGGAAGTAGGTATCGAGTTAATTTTTTTTCATCCACATCTTTATGCACTCATAAGTTATCCCTGAAAATTTGAAGGTGATATCTGTAACGGTTTTAGAGAAAACTGCCGGACGTACGGACGGACGGACGGACAGACAGACGGACGGACGCGCCTAGGCCGACAATATGGCCCCACACTATGTAGTGGGGACATAATTAAAAGGAAAAAGCCATCATACCCTAGTGCTCCTGCCACGACAAAGATGACCCATATGTGCGTACTGGTGGTAAATGTGAACACTATCATTGAAATGAAAGCAAATATATACAGTCCTGCTGTTGTCCATCTGAAAAAAAGTATATGACGTGTCTTCAAATAAGAATTTTATCAACTACTAGGATCATTATAATATCAATATGATAATGATCATCAAAATATCATTAAGACCATCATTAAGATCGAGATCATCAATACTCATCCCTAAACACGGTGGTTTTGTATTTTTAAGTGATGTTAACGACAACTATTAAATAATTCCATAAGCTTGTATTTATACTAACTAGAATTAACTAGAAAAACTAAAATATAATTAATACACATTGTATTTTACTTGTAAGTTTTGGTCTTGTCTAACCAGATGCCTGCCAATATGGACGCCACTATTCCAGTAAGTACAATAGTTAGGCCTATCCTGCCTGCATTTTGTTCCTCACCCTACAACCAAGCATTTGGTCAAATATATACTCCTTTGGAATATGTATAAAAAGTTGTGTTTTGTAAACAGCTAAACTAATAAAAAGCGGATGTTATGCGGATGTTATCAAATGTGATGAATTGATCATGTAAAACGTACTGTACGATGTACAGATTCATTAAATGATAGTCTATACTTGGATGTTAAAAAGTATGTAAAATCTCATGTTTGCCATTGAGTGAATAGTTGTGTTTATATACAAGAAAGTGTATTTTATGTCAAGGACAATATTTAAGGATTTAAGCCCTGAACTCATGTGCATTGTGTGCTGAACCATTCCATTAAAGGTGGTATTTCCAAATATTTGCATGACGGAGCGGGAATGCAAAATTATGGAAACAACGCCTGAATTAAATGAAGCAGCCATAATGCATTGAGTGTTGGGCTGGAATTTTTTCATACATTGCAAATTATTTTCTACAAAAATCACCTAAAAGATAAAAAAACTACTAAAATAACATATTTACAATTAAAGGTTTCGCAAGGGTTAAGTTAGAAAACATGAATTTCAATATCTATTCAACCACCTTGACAACTATACATCAATTGCGTTAGTGGTTATATTACGTAATGCAATTACGTGATATAGCGTGTTCTGATTAGCTGGAATTGGACACACTTGGATATCTCTTAAATAACACGTAAATTATGTCGATGTTTAAGTTAACTGTATGCGTATTACTTACTGGGAAATGCTTCAGCACTAGTGGATTAAGCTGCGTTGATATTCCATAAAATGATCCTGTATTTAAACCTACGGATGTAAGATACATATTGATTATTGAGTTGACATAAGGAAAATTTCCTCAAGAAAAATACAGCTGTTAAAAAGATTCAAGAATTAAATCCAATCAAAAGAATCAAAAATAGAAATTCTATATGAAATGAAATGTTTAAATGTTGAACAGAACACTAAAGTTACACCACGAAACTAAAAAATGTAATAGAGATTCATATTGAACATTTATACGATTCCAAATTGCAAAACTATACGTAACACCCTTCAGAATATCATAATGGTTGGAGACTGGGAAGGGATTTCCATAGGTGACCTATCATGTTATATACCATTTGGTTTTACGGAAAGTTACATATGATTGCAAAGTTTCAGAATCCAGGGGTGTCTATGCGAACAGGATACAATGCATCAACATTTGCAGGCACTGTGTCATTTAGAGGGCAAATCACCCAACTCATAGAAAAAGAGACCATTCACTCATATTGGAAATGTTTTTAGAAGATAAGTACCCAACGCAATGTTGTCTTTTGCTGGGCTCCGCCGGTACAGGGAAGAAAATCGAGTTTTATTTGCGCAAAATCCGCATCACTTTATCCCTACTCCGGAACATATATTCAATACTAACCATATGAAAGCATGAGAAGTATAAAACCAGGGTTTGATATCAATCGTTTCAATGAGTCAATGTAGTTCTCGTGCGCCGCATCCTCTACAATCTTAGCCTGTGCTTGACTAGGAGGCACATCCGGACACTTTTTGAAAACTGAAACAATATAATAACGAGTCAAACACCAATGGATAAGATCAGTCATCCTATGTTGTATCTTGATTAACATTGTGGTATTAAAAATACGACAAAAAATTCATTAGGGTTCCATCAGACCGGATTCTTTGCTATATAGCTTTGTAATTGGCGTTGCAGTCTCATGTAATTCCAAAATTAGAGGGTCAACCTGTGCAAGGATGAACTTACCAATGCACACGATTATGAAGAGAAGCGTGGTCAACGCGGCTGTTCCATAGAACATTATTGTCAACCCATGGCCCACCACGTCAAGATTGGGGTCATTTTTGACAAAAACTGGAGGAAGAAGAAATCCTACTCCGTTTCCAAGCTGAAATAATAAAAGTCACTGAACAATTAAGTAATGCTAATCAATAAGGTAGCGTATATGTGTGTGTGCTCATTGGGCATTGAGCGCGAGTTTATTAGCCATTGAAAATATGGTTCCATTCTATTCCTTTTTTTGATTTTACATCTATGATAGTCGTAGAGTTCCGTCAAACTTAACGTACATCACACCATGAATTATTTTTATTGGAACAGAAATGTCTTCCATTATAATGTCTCGCTTTCAATGTTTACTTAATGATATGGTGTCAGGTAGTTGTTGAGATCTGGATTAAGATACATTAGGATACAAGTACAACATGGCCTCTACTTGTATAAGTGTCTACTGTAGGTTATCATTATGATAGCAGATGTACCTGATTTCCAAATACCCCTATAGCAGTTGCAGTTGATACTTCATTAGGACCAAACCAAACTGCAGCAAGTCTAGGGGGAAGCCCGAGAATAAATATTTGCGCAATAGCACATACGGTTTGCGCAAACATAAGCACGCCAAATCTATCTGGAGAAATACTGGCACATTTTAGCCACGCCCCAAGTGCATTTATTCCAGTGCCAAGTATCCCTGCAACTCGTAGTCCCTTCTTGTCTAATATCCATGTAGCTGGGAAAATGAGAGGTATGTACACAAGCATGTAGACCATTGAGAGCCATTCAATTCCTAACTGAAAAGTAGAGACAATTTGCGAAAGGTATATAAACATAAGATATACAGTGCGTATCAAAAAACGCAACAGATTGTTATCTCGGAAAAGCACAAAACCAGTGATAACGGCATTGATTTCATTCAATGCAATGCATCATAAAGCCATGTGTCTCCTCTTTACAATGATAATATCATTCATTGATATTTGGTCATGGTTGGGGGAGAAATCATTCCATTTGCAAAGTGGGCCAAAATAAGCTTGGGACCAAGTTATAAACATCGCATTAGTCAGTGTACGGAGCCCTATGCAATATTGGAAGAAAACATAAAACTAATGCTGACTGCATCCTTTTCATTCAATGTACCAAAAAGCCAAATCACTCCTTTTTGCAATGGAATATCATTCATTCACAGGGAGTTATGGCTGACCGAATAATCATTTATTTTGCAAAGTCGGGCAAAATTCAATTCGGACTCAAGTTTCAAACGTTGCAAAGGTCAGTACAAGGGGCATAGGGGCTATTGGACGAAGGTGTGACAGGTGTGGCATTGACAGTAAAAGTGTTCATACTCTACTCTTGCAAGAACACATCCTATACCCCTCCAAATTGCCACCACTTCCTTGCACATAAAGATGCCCTCATCTGTCCATGTCATGCATGGTTCAGCCCTGAGTCATCTGTGGGCTAAAGCAGAGAAAAGCAGCCCATGGGCAATTCTTACTCGAGGTTTACAATATCTGGTAAAGGAATTGTGAGCACAGATCCCGGCACAGATGCACCTGAGATGCTCCAAAAGAGTCACAACAATTCAAGTCAGGTGAACTTTCATTGGCACTTAGCCCTTGCACTGTATTTTGCAATATCTAAAACTTGGTTCAGAGCCGATTTTGACCCACTGTGCAAATGGAAGGATTTCTCACCCAACCATTACCACATGTGAATAAATAACATATCATTGCAAATAGGAGAGGCGTGGCTTTATGGTACATTGAATGAAATTGATGTAGTCATCACTAGTTTTGTGATTCAGAGATAACTACTTATTGCATTTTTTTTGATACGCCCTGCAAAAATATCTAACCATCCTAAAATGATTTTCTGTGTACTAAGGCCGTCGTCAGAATCTCCTTTTAGCTTGTACTTTTTTTTACATATACTTCACATTTATTTCTATAAATCAATCGGTTACATTACATACAAATTGCCATTGTTAACAGGACAACATTATCGACAATTGAAACAATTTTGATAAATTAAAAAAAATATATTTAGAAATACACAAAATGTTCAAAGAAGCTTCTTTCTTCTTTGTTGTTGTTTGGTTTGCTTGTTCCCAAGTATTAGTATCAAAATTATATGTTAAAAATTACTATGTCCCAGACTTTGTATAGCTTAAAAAGTATAGTGAGCAGTGATTTCAATCATTTCATTTGTTTTAATGTCCTAATTTTCATCTCCATTCAATAGAAAATATGTTTTACTTTGGACTGAGTAAGGTTCAAACTCACGTAAACAGTTCAAGTCTGATAGTCCTGCAAGAAGAACTTCAAGTTCATTAAGTAGCGGCGGACACTTGATAAAAAAGGGTTCAGTGGTTTGGAATTTTTCACCACATAGACATTTGGGATCTGTTACCGACAGAAAATTATGAGAATAAAAGTGACTGTTCAAAAGTAGACCAGCTCTAAGTCTATTTTTGATTTATAATATATGTGCCTTGTCATAACTGACCTCGTCATTTTCATAGTTGATACAGAGACAAGGCTCGTGTACTCTCTCACTGACCTTTGAAACCTTGAAATGGGTTGACCAACTCTAATCTCTGCTGGAAGTTTATTCCAAATAGCTTGTACTTCAGCGCAAATTACTCCTCTTTTGTTATCTTAACGATGTAAAACTGGCGGATACAGCAGCTAACAAGAGGGGACAAATTTCAAGTCGGGAAAAGATCTTCCAAAATATTGGGCCCCTTCAAAATCTAAGGCCCATTTCTGATATTTTGGCTTAAAAGGCCCAAAAAGGCCAAGTAATGCCCTAAAAACATTTTGGGGGCCATACCCCACCACCCCCTGGATCCGCCACTGAGTAATATTCCCCCATATTCACGATTTACGAAGACCAACCTGTCAACCTCAGAAATATTGTTTTCGCTGACTTTTCATATGACCATGACAGTTTTGACGCAGGCCTACGTACCGAGTGCAATGTTATCCTTGCGCATTATCTATTACGAAGACTGCACCAAAGTAGAAATTTACATTAGTTTCACATCAGTAACAAAATAATTCTTTAATCGATTTATCTTTACAAATGTTTTTCCAGTGGAAAGAACACGGCATAAATATTCATTACAAATGCAAGAAATTGATTAAAATGCATGTGTTAGACCGAATATCGATAACTAAAAATGTTAAACCAATAATAATGTTTTACCTTACAACATTATACGCGTTAAAATAAATCCTTAAACACGATGAGTTGCTGTAATATTATTATTATATAAGTTATATGCTTTCACGGGCGTTTTATCCCGATAAATTGATTTACTCTCACACATGTATTTATCATTTATAAACACAAGCATTTGAATGGGTATAGCATTTATTATCCATCACTTCGATTTCTTTTATGATGTGACTGCTATACTTAGGCCATAGCCAAGATTTCTCAAAAGAGTTCTACTTTTGCTGAATTGCAATGGACATTTGTAACGCGCGTGCTCCCTAATTCACGTGTACACCTCCATATACAGGTTGACCCAGAAAATTTACCCTCTCATTTCAAACATGATTTTTTAATTTATTTGCGAATATAGACTGTTTAAATTCCAAGTTTTAAAATGATCACATTTTCCATCCAGGTATGGTCTAGTGATATTGTCCAAAAAATGTTGAAAATGCAATTTTCTGAAATTGAGATTTCTGTCTTAGCCATTATTTGAGCCATTTCTGGATTGCTTTCATATACATTATCAATAGAATATAAAATCTACCCTTTAAACAATTCAACAATCTCGTCAAATATGATGCACTGACTGCTTATTTGGTAAATTCCAATGATTTATGCATTTAACTCTCTATCTACACAAAAAATCATGGAAAGTCCTTCAAAACGGAGATATAGTTATTCCCAAATTAAGGGGTGACGTTTTTGGGGTCACCTGTACTTGGACTTGAATTTGAATTTTGAATTTTATATTTTCAATTCAAAGAAAGAACAAATGGGTGTTTTAGCACTATAATAGGTGTCTTTTGTTGTAAGGCATTGCAATTTGAAAGAGGTTTAATTTTAGAGCCTACGGATAGATATCGTGTTATTTCAATTTGGTCAGTTTTTTTAATTTCAGCCTACGTTTCATTTTTTACAAAACTAATTATCAACTGTCACTTCTATCGTTAAAGAGTATTCACGTAGCTATAAAGACTTTTTTGTACGCCATGATTGAATAAATATTTCATTCTTCGATTCTTCAATTCAGTAACTAAATGTAAGGTCATTATGAATGGACACTCCTCTATTATAGAATGATATACCAAATAAAATCTTTTGATTTTGAGTTTTTTTTAGAAAAATCATAATTTAATCTCGGTATTAAATTGTGGGAATTGCATGTTTCAGAATTTGACATATTTGTGTGAACTTTGCTTCGTCGGTTCCCACGCTCAATCACTACGTTCTATCCCGAGGTGAGGATATGGGTCCGAAGCTTGATGAAGCAAGATGTGAAGTTTGTGTGAACTCTTAAGTCTATCTCCCTAAAGTAGCTCGTCTTAAAAAGATGCATATGTTCCTTAAAGATGCGTTAAGATTTGCCCTTAAACTTAGCTCAATATATTTTAACTCTTGATTTGACTTTCATTAAACAAATGCAATATTAAAATCATGAACTTCCCTTCAGATTTCAGGATATCTATTGAGTAAAAGATTCACCATTTTAACATAGAAAATCAAATTGTCTAACTTTTTCAAATTCAATTGTATCTAGCCAAAACAAAATGGAGGTATCGGACATAATGTCAATTTATTTTTTCCAGCACTGAAAGTTTTTTCCTTTACACTGTACATATTATACGAATAATATTTCAAACATAAGGAGGCTTAAACACTCCATGGAGTTTACGGTTGACACACTTTTGGAAGGGGTGTAAATTGTATGTAAGAAAGTTACAAAACTGGTTTTATATGAGGAACCCCAATGAAGGTGGAGATTTGTGGATAATATAAAAAACGAACCCCTGGTCACCAAATCCTGGCTACGCCACTGATAATTATTCATTACAAATGCAAGAAATTGATTAAAATGCATGTGTTAGACCGAATATCGATAACTAAAAATGTTAAACCAATAATAATGTTTTACCTTACAACATTATACGCGTTAAAATAAATCCTTAAACACGATGAGTTGCTGTAATATTATTATTATATAAGTTATATGCTTTCACGGGCGTTTTAGCCCGATAAATTGATTTACTCCCTAAGTTGCAAGTAGAATACCCTTCCCAAAATTAGCATTAAATCTTGCAATAACTGGCTCAACATGAGAGTGAATAACCCTTTTTAAGACCAGGGTTATTCTTATTCACAAAATCGTACAATCGTACCACCAGTGATGTAAATATCATGACAAAGTGATATTTTGGAAGTATTGGTGGTTTATCACCGTAAAGTGTGGCTTTCATACGATAAGGTTGCATGCGTATAATCTAAATCGAGTAAAAAGGCTTAAGTACACCTTTAACTGTTGATTATAACCATTTTATATTGAAATATTACAACTGTTGCTTTTCAATGAACCATATATCATTTGTTATCAACAATATTTTTTACAGTGCATGGAATCGAATCATGTCCAGGAAGTATCTACATTATTCACAGATATTAAATCATTTACATGTTTAGTGCTACTATACTCTGGTGAATTACTGATGACCAATGCGAAAGACTTGTGCCACTCAAGTCGATAAACGTGAGCAACATAGAGTTTCATTGTGTCATTTATTATTTACTCTAGCAAATAGTGTTATAAAGAAAATACAGACATTTTATATTATTGAATCATTAGCAATGAAAGTATAGGCAAAAAGCAATCAAGGATGTAAAAATGGATTTCTAAGATCCGCCTCTGGTTGCAGCTTCGTTAATTGATGAACTTTGGGACAAATGCTGAACCTCTAGACTACCACAACTAAATCTAAATCATATGTTTATCAGGACTCTATAATGAAAGAGCTAGTTTTATTTAAACCTCAACTTGCAAAACAACATGTCTATATTGAAATGATTCCTAAAAGACAGGGGAATTGGGGAAAGGGATTTACCAGGGGAGGTTTTAATAGATTCAAAATGTTATTGTTTCATTCCTTGAGAGTCAACATCGTTAAACGCATGTTTCTATAGCGGCCTAACACCCCCTTACCTGTTGCTGGTACTGGTCACCCGGAAGACTTTCGTTGTAGTAGCGATGTATGATATTCCCAATAATACTAAGATGAATCCATTGAAAGGCATTTGTCAGAGAATAGCTACAGAAGAGTATTAGCATAAACCATCGTCGTGTGTATAACTTAGGCTTGATTCGATCCTCTGACGCTGTTGTTTCACTTATATATTTTTGTTTTCCATTGGCTGGAAGTAAGAGTAAAGGTTTTGTCGATGCAGTATCAGTACTGATGGAATTTGTTGTTGAAATCTCATCCGCCATGTCTGCTGTACATCTGTACTACTGCTGAACTACTGCTCTTCTGCTGTAATACAAGTAGCAGAGAGAGATCGTATCTAGGATACAACTAGCAACATACAACACGTTTATCAAGCGAAACTGCCTCATCGAGTTTTTTTTATTTGTGATAACGATTCTGATGCATATTCGCATATGCATATTCGTAAATACATCTTGTCAGCTGTTGCTTTCCTGCTATTTTGAAAACAAATTGTATTATCGTGAATAACAATGAAATATCGTATTTTTCAGTGTTTAAGCGAGTGGACGATTAAATAGTATTGATTCTTATAAGCAGAGCTTATCGTGCTATGGTTCCAAACAGTTGCTGGAATTACACCACAAAGTCCGCTAAAACTGAACTGAACTACGTGTTAAAGCCTTTTCACCTTTGAATTTTTATTTACTTAACCTGCGATGAAAATACTTATACTATTGATGGAAACGTACACTCCCCTCCATAAGTTTGTCAACCTTTTTTCCCCATTGAACTATGTGTTACAGCCTCTCTACGTTTGGATTTTTATTTACTTAACCGGCGATGAAATAACTTATAATATTGATGGAAACGTAACTTGACTTTATTTCCAATACCTCCAAATTTTCTCAATTTTTTCCCTCAATTACAATAGGTCGAAAATTGATGATAAATTTGATGAATTTTTGAAAATCGTCATTCCCATGTAATCCAATTGGAAATGGAGGGTTCGGGGCAAATCAGAAATCAGGATATCTTTTCAGTAAAAGATTCAGCAAAAAATATTTTTGGGAGAGGTTTTTTGAAAAACAATTTTGACTTCAAAGCCTTATAACTTTGTTGAACCTGAAGAAACATATCAATTTTTTGTTAAATAAAGTTAGCAAATTCAATTGCCTGCCTAACTCGTATTTTTTTGCAAAGAATCGGATGGATGGATATTCTGTCATATGACTTGCGGCAAACCTACCATTACCCATTGGTTAACATGGGAATGTCGATTTTCAAAAATTCATCAAATTTATCATCAATTTTCGACCTATTGTAATTGAGGAAAAAATTGAGAAAATTTGGAGGAATTGGAATTAAAGTCAAATTACGTTTCCATCAATAGTCGAAGTATTTTCATCGCTGGTTAAGTAAATAAAAATTCAAAGGTAAAGAGGCTTTAACACGTAGCTCAATGGGGGAAAAAGGTTGCCAAACTTATGGAGGGGAGTGTAATTTGACTTTAGTTCCAATATCTCCAAATTAACGCAACCATTTTTCTGACCATCGCAACTAATTGCCTTTGGAATTTATTTTGCATCAAATTGAGCCCCAATACACATTCCATGTGAAAAGTCCAACCATGTGACGTGATGCGACACTCGACCGGGTATCACTGGGTCTGCCAAGTGTCACACAAAAAGTTACTCTAACTCGAATCACTGCAACATACATTGGAATGTCACACGGAATGTGGTATAAGTAGCACAGAATACTGAATTCAACTGGTGAACTGAATTAAAAAATGTTTTTCTCTTAAAGCCCCATTATGCGTTTTTTTCAACATTTTTTGCAAAATAAAGACTTACTTTTGAACTTCATAGTATTTTCAATATCTGTCAAGTTTTTATTATCAAGTTTTACCAATGTCAATGAAAGATGGCGATGTTGTTTTTAGTACATGATTCATTCATTTTTATAGAAGTGTCGCCATCTTTTAGATCAAGAATTATTTAAAAACATACACTTTGTCAAAAATGTAAATTCACTACTAAATATCTCTTAACTTCAAAATGCTATTTTCTACGCGAGCTTTTTTCTCGGTTCAATATTAATATTAATCAAGCTTTGTATAATACTTGATCGAGTGTGTAAATAATATGTTTCAAAGATTATTATTTTCTTTTTTCCTTGTAAATTAAGCATAGTGGGCATTTAAACAGGCAATATGCGTTTTTTTTGAAGAAAAATGGATAAAATATTTTTGAGACGTGTTACTCACACACTCAATTAAATACATTAAAATCTTTAATTTGGGATAATACTGATTAGACGTGAATAACAAAATTACTCGCATAGTAAACAGCATTTGAAGTTCAGAGATCGAAAAAAGTGAATTACCACTTCAAAGTGTATGTTTTAAATAAATCTTGGATTTAAAGATGGCGTATTGCTGAAAAGTCTATCAAAACTTAATGGATAATGTAACCATGCAAAAAAAATCCCAATCTTTCATTGACATTGCTAAAAACTTGACATATATATAGATTGATAGATAGAAAATATTATTTGATAATCTAGTGTCAACTCTGATGTGGTCTGTTTTGTTTGAGGTATTCTCGGTGTCAAATGCATGTCTCAAAAAATTATATCGATTTTCAGGAATTATAATATGTAAGGCTGAAAACCATTTACCTACCCAGCCACACGGTTTTATCTTTCGAGCGTGACGATTTGTTCGCGTTCTTCATTGAAGTCAAGCATATCCCTTCGATAATATCATTACGAAGTACATGAAGTTATAAGAGTACCTGCTATCAACATGGCAAATATCCTATTTATAAAAACTAAAAAATATCATAGCTCCGAAAAGACAATTCAAAGACGAACACTGATAATATAAGCCACATACAGGCTGTCCCGAAAGTGTGCCCCCCTCCCTAGGCAGACATATGCCAATGTCTCCATATGAGTCATATTAGAATAAACGATACAAGGGAATATCAAGGATGAAATGCGTGGAATTCGCAATTATATCCTCAGTAGATGTAAGTTGTAATTGTATATGAAATTCAAAATATTTAATTGTAAACTTAGTATAAACATACCTGTGTCTACTGTTAAGATCTTTATCAATATGAAATATAATTAATTGGAAATAAAGAAATGAGAAACTGGGATATGTGCGGCCAGCAGATAAAAATTCAAGGTTATGTCCAGGCATCATTGGCTCTTGTGGATTTATTTGTCATTCTTATATAACATGACCTGGTGTTCTTGTGCGATCAACGGAGAAGACAAGGACCGATCCAGAAAGCCTGATAAAAATGCTTTAACTCAAAAGTTTATCATTTATTTTGCACAATATTTTCAGAGTAATTGGGTCATTAATTTCCTCATAAGTTATAAAAAGTATAGATGTTATGGTTACAAATGTTTCTGAAGTTATGGTTGGTATGGTAACCTCAATAACGCTATAGCGGGACAGGGTAATATTTGCGAAATTTAAAATTAGTTTTCTTTTGAATAAAGATTCCCATTACAAGGTCGCTTAACTCAGCTACCAATGGCTGTTTTAATTGTAACTGATGTTTATGTCCTATTCTCATTAGTGTGAAATCATTGTAAATCTTTGTTAAACAGAAAACACGAACGCCTCGTGATACATTGGACAAGACATGATGAGACAATAAGCGTTCAGTTCATCTGCGTAAACCAATGCGTAAAAAGCGACCGAGCAAAGCCATAGATTCAAACATGTTTGACAAGGACAACGCATCATGTCACAAATTTGGCATGGTCTACAACAAGTTCAATATGGGAGGAAAACGGTATTAGGACATTCTCCATATTCCCCAAGAAATGCGTAATGCTCTCCTTTGTTGTGTTTGGACTTTGGACCAGCCCTAAGGAGGGATCCGACGAGTGTCTCATATTTTAGAACATCGGTTGAAATCAAGAATGATGCCGACACCTGAGTAGGACTTCAAAATGTGTACATATAGTGGGTGGATAATACCAAAATGTATTAATACAGTGTTTGAATGCAGAAGGACATTATTTTCAGTGTCTTCGTTGAGATTTATCTCAAATAGGATTGCACAGTTGGAATTAGTTTTTTCAGATTTTCAATATGACTTATGACGTCAATATGAGCTCCTGGACTATAAATCGGACCAAGTGCCCCTACCACGGGGTAGTAAAAGTGGGATAATAGAAAGTTTTATCAATTAATCATTCTGAAAATTCCCTGCTGTATAGCCATATAAATTATGTAAATTGTGTAAAAATTTCAAGTGATATCCTTTACTTAGGAAAACGATACAGCATTTTTAGTTCTGGATTGGCCTTTGTATAACCAATATTACCTATGGTGGCTAGCAGATGATATAGTGTCGAAGCACCATTGAAGCTTTTACCTTATATGACCCGATGCTCTGGCCAGTTCAACCAAGATGATATAAAAGACATTACCTTAGATATCGTGCACACTATCGTCCGAGTCAAACCATATAGCTATATCGGTCTAGAACGTATTTCTGGTAGTTCTCTTCCTGAATTACCTTGATTGTCTTGCATGTCACCCGCAGAAATCTCCATTCTTGCATCTACATGTGCATGTTGGTTTGTGTCTTTCGACATGGCACGATCAACGTAGTAGTTCAGAAACGTAAATTTTCCCCACTTGCTTTTGTGTTTTGAATCCAAATTGTAAACTAAACCATTGACTACTAGCTTGGTGATCATCAGGCCGTATCAGTTCAGGAACATTTTGCAAATTATGCTTATTTCTCATGAAAACCACATGTTTAAGTGAGACGCTGGTGACATATTTTATTCAAGTAAAACTGTATAATTTATGATCCATGGCTAGATAACAACCTCAAGTTTCATTTGGTATGCAAATTATGATTTGATATCAAAAATTAAAAAGGTTATAGCATTTTGAAAAAAGTGGCGTTTTTGGCCCACCCTGTACATAGAATATTCTCAACATATTTGCACTTTTAGTCCCGAGGAAGTCTATGTCAGTCTGACCCAACCAAAACAATAAAAAACAAGCATTGACTTCTATTTATCCAGCTTTATACAGGTTACTTGTTTAGCATCAGGAGTAAAATAATAAGTGTTACCCTTTCCTTGGGGTTTCTCATTGTAGCACACATGCTACCATGATTTGGCTGTGTCACTTACTTGCGTTCGTTCCATTTCCAAGGTTCAAATTCATATGTTCATTGCATTTTCATTCAATCACATACTTTTCGTATCTCCTTCATGGCAATCGTCACTTCCATTACATTATGGAATCCAACTGTTCTAGCACCATCCACATTATGGCGCTTGAAACGCGTGAGCCATCCACATTATGGCGCAATCGCTCAAGCACCATCCACATTATGGGCTTTCAGACTCGAGCGCCATCCACATTATGGGGCTTTAAGAACCAAGCACCATTCACATTATGGGGCTTACAGACTATCGCGGCACCATCCACATTATGGTG